CAAAAGGGACCTAGGAGCAGAGATCTACCATTGCATGAACATGAGCTGGCAGTGTGTTGCTGTGGCCAGCAGAGCAAACAACACACTGTTGCATCTCATGCAAAACTAAGTGATATTCCCACTGTACTCCGCATTCGTGAGACTGCAGCTGGACTACTGCATCCAGTTCTGGGCACTGCACTTCAACAAGAACGTGGAAAAACTTGAGAGGGTCCAGAGAAGAGCCACCCGTATGATCAGGGGCTTGCAAAACAAGCCATACGAGGAGAGGCTGAAGGACTTGGGCCTTTTCAGTCCACAAAAGAGAAGGCTGAGAGGGGACTTGGTAGCAGCTTACCGCTACATCAGGGGAATACATCAAGAACTCAGTGAACAGCTGTTCACCAGGGCACCCCTGAGGAAGACCAGGAGCAATGGATACAAACTGCTGGAAAGCTGCTTCAGGCTCAACTCTAGGAAAAACTCCTACACAGTCAGGGTGTCCAGACTGTGGAATAAACTCCCTCCAGTGGTGATGCAGTCACCTACCCTGGAAATCTTCAATAGGAGACTGGACAGTTACCTTGCTGGGGTCACTTGACCCCAGTTGTCTTTCCCTGCCTAGTGCAGGGGGACTGGACCTGATAATCTACAAGGTCCCTCCCAGTGCCTAATAATCTATTAATCTAAGTACTGGTTTGGAAAGACTACTAGTAGATTAACCTACTCATTTAGGTGAAGCTGTAGGACAATAATATGATAAAGGGGGTTTGAAGAGGTCTGACAATATGGGCTTCAAGTTCACCAAACCTCTATGCTGAAGTGCAGCAATAGTGGGCAAAGACTGTAATGGAGGCTCCAGGAAAACCAGATTAAAGAACTGAATCTGACTTGGGATCTTAACGGGAGGGTAAATATGCAACAGGCCCTTGAGAAATGTTGATACTAGGTATGAAAATTCAGAGTTTGATACAGAGTTAATTAATTATAAAAGCATTCTGACAACTAAGAGTGAGCACACACTGTTGGCACCTGAAGTGTTAGAGACAATACCTTTGGTATTAGGGCCCTATCTGAGTCTTGGTATTTGACTGTCCATAAAGTAGAAGTTTCCTTTTAGATGCATGGCCCTTTCTCCTCCAAAAGTTTCTGCTCCATGAGATTTATCAAACTTGTCAAGAACAGCATCTATCAGTACTCCTTGATGAACCAACATGAGTGTAATGACTACTTCTCACTGCAATGCGTTTAAACTGAATCAGACATCAAGCCCAGGCAGACAGAGATACAGCAAAAGCTCTGTTATGCGGCACCCATGGGGACCGGGGGTGCCAGATAACCAAATATGCCGGTTACCCAGGATGCCCGAACACGCATCTTTGCCTGTTTGGGCCACCGCCCCTCCCGCCATACTGCCACTCCTCCCTGGTGTCAGTATGCTGGGGGACAAGAAGAGAACACCATGCAGGGTGCTTTGCCCTGGGCTGTGGTACCTGGCCCCACAAGGGGAAGGAAGAGATTTGAACCAGCCCCAACCCAGGGAGCAGGGATGGGCAACACAACATTTGTTCCAGGTTGTGCACTCAGGCTATTATATAAACGTATGGGCTCCACCAGTAGTTGCTGCTCCTCTTTCATCATTACAAAAACAGTACTAACCTCAGAAGACAAGTCCACACTACACATCCTATATGCATGGATATACCTAAAATCCACACTACACATTCTGTATGGATGGATACAGCATATCCCAGGATACGGTTTCTAAATTCTGGCAAGGAACACCCCTAGTTTTAGCATGCTTTCCATGCAGAATGTAGGTTTTGTGGTGAGTTTCTTGTTTTTAATTGAGCTTTTTTTAAGATATGTAATTTTCCCCATGCACTGAATAGAAGAGCGTAAGTGCCTAATTCTGAGTTTTGGATTGCTGTCAGTGTGGCATTTAATTTGTAACACACGCAATGCCCTTTATTTGATGTAAGGCCCTCGTAAAGGAAACTGAGCTCCAGCCCCTTTTGCAAGAAGTTTAGGAACTTAGTACTCTCCTCCGTAGGAAACATTTTGGTAGCTTCTCATTGGTTAAATATTGATTCTGTGATTGATACATGCAGCAACCACTTGTGAGGGCTACCCCATGTCTAGTCTACTTAAAGAGCCTGTCATATTGTTACTGGCTCCTCGAAAATGCAGGCACAGTGAGGTCGCATCATGGTAATAAATCCCAGTTTGCAGCTATATGTCCTTCTGGAAGAGATGACCAAGCACATCCTTACTCCTTTACATAGTGCCCTGTGGAGTCCAATAAAAGAGCTAGAATGTTCATAGGTCAGCCAGATGACCCTAAACATTAATACACTCATATACAGTTTCAAAATATCCTGGGACCACTTCTTTGCCTCTGCAAATAGTTTAGGCAGGTACCTTAACCTGTTCCTGGTGTATTTATGGATTACGTTCATGGACAGGGAAAAGGACACATTCTCTGAATCCAGTCACTAAGTAAGTTCTTAAGCACTGGAAGTACTATGTTCTCTTCTGAGAGAAGCCATACCATATACAGATATTTGCTCTTCTCAGAGTGATTTAACTCTGATTGTTCCCTATTTGTCTCCTGGACTGTCCATTTTTACTGGCAGAAAAAGCCTGAATATCTGCACACACATGGTTTCTCCTGAAAAAGCAGTGATCCTCCCAAGAAAAACTGAATGTCTGTATGATGCCAAAGTAACTTCATACCCTCAATAGCCAAGTATCATGTTTCAGTCTGTTCCTCCAGCAATGCCTTATGCTTGGAGCCATGATACTTTTGCACATCACCACCTACAGACCTGACTGCTGTGCTGTCACCTACAAGGTCTATCGATAGCTGCCTGCCAGTCTGCTGCAATTACTTCTCTGAGGTCATATGTTGCCTTGTGGGAACTTCAACAAAAGTTTCATTATAATAGTTGCAAGCCCCTGGCAGATATTATTTCCATCAAGCAGCAAGTGATATAATTCAATTGAAAATGTCACACCATATGATTTACTTCACATTCAAGGGGGAAGCGATATAGAGGGAAAAAAAGCATCCTGGAAACTTGCTTTGCCAGCACCCACCAGCTGTGCTGGGAATGAGAAGTCATCTGGGCTCCCCTTGGGTGAATGAACTACTTCCCCAACCCTTGTGTATATCCAGAGAGACCCGTGCAAAGGGTGAGGAAACTGCGCAGAAGCAGCAGGGCTCAAACTGGCCTGGAGCTTTGTGTGCTTGTCCTGTCCTCCAAATCTTTACCCATTTTAGACAAGTAAAGCATGTCACTTAAGAGTTTGTTTACACCTTGGCTTTCACAAAAAGGTGCTAATGGTTACTTAAGAAGCAGACTTAGGGCTGCTTAAAGAAGGGGAGAAGGGGCAGTGAATCAAGACACCTCCCACTAGTGTATCCTAAGGAAGCAGAGTTAAGCATAAGAGAGTGCGAGAATGAGCACACAATCGACCCCGAGATGCTGGAGGACCTGGACAAACACTATCACCCTGTGTGACATGTCACACGTTCAAATTAAAAGTTTGACAGTAACCAGCTACAAAAAATGTTCTACATTTTTCAAGCAATAACTTTGTGGCTTGTTGGCCATTTGTATGTCTGGCTGCCATTTTTATTGTGCAATAATTGCTTTGCATGTGTAGGATGTCTACATTTATTGTTCAATTAGCCAATTAACTGCAATTGCACAAAGGTAATGTGCCTGGGGATGCCAGTGAGATGCCACCCGTAAATAGATCAGGTTTTTTTAAGTACTTGTGTCGGATTTTGATTTTTCCTCTAGTACTGATACCACAACTTAGTTCAGAAACCAGATACCAATTCTTTACCCATTTCACTATAGGAAATATAGTGTGTCAAGGCTTTACCAAGCGATCCCTTTATTTACAAGTAGAGCAGTTTTTAAAAAGCACAGGAATGAATAATGAATGAGATTCCTTCATTAAGGCCTATGGATGCTGACAGACTTGGGAGGTGGGGAGGAACAAAAAACAAAAACAAATGAAGAACACCCACCCCGCAAAAAAGCCAAAACAAAACAAAAATGCTCTTTACTGAAAGAACAGCACGTTACTTGGACCCAGCTCCACAGCATCTGTATAAATTGGGTGCTTCAAATGTTAGATAAAAGCACCAAACGCGCCCCCCTAAAGTGACCAGCCCATACAGATGTTGGGTGAGCTGGGTCAAAACAACATGATGCCTCTTCTAACGCCCCTAATGCCCTTTCAAACTAACACTGAGCCCAGGGCATGTGCTGGGCTCAACATGGGGACACGCAGAGTTTAAAGTAAAGTGTCATTTTTGGTTTGGGGTTTGTTGGTTTTTTTGGGGGGGGAAGGGGAACAAGGGGGGATGGGTTACATCTGTAAGCAGCCTACATTTATATCAGCAGAATCTCTGCAACTCTCCTAAGGAGGTCCTGAAATGACAAACATCATCCAGGACTGGTACTATCAATACCTTATCTGATGACACAGATCAGTAAGCCTTTGCAATTGAAGGAAGATGCTAGTTTTGTTTAGCTCCCAGGTCAGGTTTGTCTTGGTGATTTCTCCCAGCTGGAGTGAAGAACCAAATTAAGATGGAATTCAGCTACAGTTTCCATCCTGGTGCAATGAACAAGCAAGAGAACTGACAGAGTAAGGGATTCTCTGCCGTTTATGCTCTCATACAGAAGAACAAAGAGGTACAAGACACATACACAACCCCAGCCAGTGCTATTCAAAAGACTCTGATTTTGTGCAAGTGAGGCATATGCACGGACAGATAATTGGTGACTTCATCATCTGAGTAAGTGCATTTTTGGTAAAGTTACAGGTAAAACAGGAGTTTACTATTCACTTCAATGAAGCCAGGATGTTACCCTCCTTACCCCTCCAGCCACACACATGCATACCAACTGCCCCACATAGTTGTAGAGGATTAGTACAGTGAAAAAATATAGAAAAGTAGCTCAACATCTCTCTATCATAAGTAAATAAAGGATAGTTACCATGTTGAAGTAAGACCTAATTTTGACCCCTCTTGCCAGATCCCAGACTATGACGTTGCCATCATGGCCAGCAGAGAAGAGAACTCTAGGATCAAATGGATGAGGTTCAAGAACAAACACTTCATCCTCATGTCCCTGAAATTAAATATATATATATATTTTTTTTAAAATGTGCTGTCGAGAATAAAAAAGAATGGCTCAAATAATATAAACAGATACAATTATCACTATAGTATCAGCAGTATAAACATGCAAATAGGTCATAACAATGTGAACCTGTATAAAAAATGGCAAACATACAACAGCAGTTTGACAACTCTACTAGCTTCTCATTTCTCTTTGTGGCCCTTCATGCAATCTTCTTCTCTGTTCTCTCTCAGGACAATTTTAAATAAATTATTATGAGTATGTCAGCTGTGGGGTCCCTGGGTCCTCACAGCTGAGACCCAGAGCCCCATTAGCTGCGAGACTCTCAGTCCCTGCTGCAGGTGAGGCACAGCCAGGACTCAAGATCTCCGTGTGACCAAGGGTTTCACACACCCCCAAGCCTTGGGGATCACAGGATCCACAATCCCCCAGGCTCAGAGGTTGCACCCCAGTAGGTGGGAGCCCCGTCAGATGCAGGGACTCTCAGTCCCAGCTGCATGTGGTCCCCCATGGCTAGGGGCCCAGTCAGTAAAGAGGGCTCCCAGCTATGGGTGCCTGCTTCTTGCAGATGCAGGGGAAGCCAAGATTGGGCTCCCCCTACACTGGTAATAAGGTGTGATTAGATCTAATGTGCAATCCCGCAGTTGTGCCTCCCGCCACGTACATGTGGCGAGGCAGAAGGCGCGACTGTACGAATCACACATTAAATCCAATCATGCATTTACCTGCCCAGGTAGAGGGGGCCTCACGAAGAGTAGTGCAAGTAAATGTAGAAGAATTATTTCATGCCCAAAAGATGACGGTGTAACAAGGACTGGTTTCTGTGATGCAACAGAGGAATTAATGCACCCTAAGTCAGACTTTCATAGCAGTACCAAAGATCCTGTATATTTGCATAGCAAGAAAAATAGGTACAGGAATATTTATGCACAGTAAATTCTTACTTCTTATTACATAAGATTAACAATACACATTGCCAATAATTTCAAGACAGCAAGACCAAGAATGTGTCTCCTTTGTCACTTATGGACACTTACATCTCCAAAACAAGCACGGTAACTCTCTGAAATGTTAGTTCAGGGTAAGTATCAGTACGTGTATTTCTAGACTAGATTTTGACTGAAATTAAAAAAAAAAAAAATATCTACAGCTAATAATTAGCAAGGCGTGTTATGGTGACCTTCAAAAAGGGAGATATGGAGTAAGCTTTTACTGGCCTCAAACATGGTATGCATTTTCATGTTGAAAATAAGATCAAGAACCTTACCATAAGGACATGAATAAGTTGGCCAGTGAAAGAATTCCAAACTTTTAGAGTCATGTTATTAACTGCAGTTATAACAGAGTTGTCATGGCGGTCCCATGCCACCATTGTTACTTTCAGTTTTGTGATTTTGTCTTCTACTCCTTGCAGACTTTGTCTAAAAGTAAACAGCAAAAAAGAGTTTCAAAACAATTTAAATTAATTTGCCAAAACTTTCCCATTGTCCAGAAACGTACCTTTTTTTTTTTTTTTTTTTTATAAACAGACTCAGAATTGCAAATTTTTTAATGTTTACATTTCCCACTGAAGGCAATAATACATTTCTGCAACAACATGCACAACTGAAAAATTAGACATATATGATGGAAATAAGTGCAACAATACATGCCCAACAGGAAAAAACAATTCAATGTTCTTAAAGTAATTCATAAAGTGGCATTCTAAGCAGCAGCAGGTTTCACAGGCCACACTATGAAGCATCAGCGCAATTTCTGTCTTCAGATAGTGCCTTCTGACACCACTTCAACCTATGTAAATGGAATGGGACATGTAGCAAGGTAGAAAAATCTGAAGAAAAACTGTCTGCATACATGGGCAAATTTGGCTTACAGAACCTCTATTACTAGTGATTATGAATATATAAAAAATATTGTCCTAAGGCTCTGTTAATCATATTCCTGGGGTTGGGGAGGAGAAGGTCACCTTCAAACTAAATATCTATCACATGAAAAGGTCTAAGGTAATGAACATGGAACTCCACAAAGTTGTATATGCAAAGAATTTTTTAGGACACAGCCTCACTTAAGGCAACAGGTGAAGTCCAAGTTCCATCAATGACATTGGGAAAACCCACTGACCTCAATGTGGCCAGGATTTCACCCACTGTTCAGAGCCTTACCTCCCTTCCATCGCATGTGAAAGAGTAGCTCATCTCAAATGTCATGTTTATTAATGATTTAGGATTATAATTTGTATGTTTCTTAGTATTTCCGAATTTGTGAACTAAAACACCCCTTCCATACCAGAGACTATTCCTGTAAAGTGCTAGGAGTACATTCAGTTATTAGCCCTCCAACTGGCCCTATGCCTTACAAGGACCTTTGGGAGAGTGGGGAAGAACCGGGAGGGGAGGGTGGAGGGACATGGCAGGTGGAACAGCATTAACACTTACCAAGACATGAGACAGGAAAGGTATCTCTGTGCTAGCGACTTCAATGTAATGGAGAGAGAGCTTATTTAAAGCTACATCTTGGGGATCTCAAGTACCGAAATCAGTCCACCTCAGCTAATCTATAGGCTTGACATTACTTAAAAAACGGAAGGGTTTGCAGTATAGCTATACCAGCAAATCCTTTTAAGACTTGCTTATTATACCAGCAAGACAATGCTTTTGTCAGTGCAGATTATCCATCACCTAGTGTTGTGATACTGCCCATATCTTTAAGCAAAGCTGGACCTTTCCACACTGGTTCCAAAAACATAGCTATGAATTTTAACGCAGATCTCTAGAAAGTTTGGCTTGATTCATGCCTTGAGCAATGGTAGTCACCTTTTTGACAGGTTTGTCACAAGTCCCTGAGCTTCTCTCCCGCAGAAGTATACCTGATGAAGAGTTTGCACAATGGGACACTAAAAAAGGTGCCTGAAGCTTGCATGCCACACACAGCAGTTTCCCATACCACAGATTGGCCAACCCTGGCTTGAAGGGTTTAAAAAGCAGGGGTTTTTTAATGTCTTGGTAACAACAAGAGCTAAAGTATATGTCAGGTGAGCTAATTTGAACAGCTGACTATCTGGTCAGATATCTAAAAAATAAAATAGGAAAAAGTCTGCTCCAATACAACACGATCCACACTTAAGCGTTCTGAAGTTAATCAAATGATGCATCAAACATTTGAGTTGAACAAATTTCCAATATGCACCACAGATACTGTGATAGCAATCTGTTTCATATAACTTACCCTGACGGACGAGTAGCCATGTCTAACAAAATACTCTTCCATTCCCTTCGCTTAAATTGCCAGATACGTGCTGTCCCATCACGACTTCCACTTACAAACCTACCCAATAGAAGAAATCACACCTCAATATCAAATATAGGTAAGGAGGATGGTATGCAATTCATTCCTAATGTTTAAATCTGTAATATATTACTACATAAATCTACCAACATATCAGCGTAGAATTTTGGAAATATTATGATTTTTAAACAGAGCCCACTTCATACATCTAAGAGAGACATAAGATTGGTAAACTGTATTCTTCTTCCAGAACTACAGCCAGGAATAACTTCCCAAATATGCCAGTTGCACATGGATTTGTATGGTACCCTTCCACCTTCTGGTCAGTTACTAATCTTGGGAATTGCCATACATGAGACTAGCTTAGAAACAACACTATGTGGATTCTATACAATTGTCCCCTCACTGGAAACAGTCTCAATTCAGAGGCTAAGCAGTGCATACTGCAGGATAAATTAACCTGAAAAAATAGACACCTGATTTGTACATGCAAAACCTATTTCTCAAGTAATTTGGTACTGCATATTTTCTAACTGTCATGGTATCTAAACTGACCATTTCTCCTTTACAACTCAAATTGTTTACGGCGAAGTCTCCCCAAGCTCCATCAAAGCTATTTATAATACAAAAAACTATATTAAAAATCCACCTCCCAAAATTATTCACTGTCAATGAAACTGAATTTCTTTCTCTAGCATCTTCTGTGCCATGGATCCAAAAAAATTTTGCAGAACAGTCATATAAAAATATTCAAAATAGTCAGACAAAACGCCTGAGTCTTTAGGTAGGCCTATGCTTGGATTAATTCTGCCTTAAATCAAGTCACAATAAAAGAACTAGCCACGATGAGTAAAGTACTATATTAAAAATAATTCTGAATTCTGCCAAGCTTTTGCCATCTCTTCACAACACAAAAACTGGTCATTAAATAATGATTATGCTTTTTTTGTAATGGGAGACAATAATTACAAGAGTTATACCATTATTATTTTAAATAAAGGTATTTGTAACTTTTGAGTTATCACTATTTGAAGGACATCTACAACATAAAAAATAATACAGAAAACTACAAAGGATACAACAGAATATTTATAGTGAACTGAAGAAAACAGCTGACATTTGGTAGCTTTCATAAAGCTGGAAAGCCTGCTCTGAAATAAAAAAAAAAAAAAAAATAATTCAAACATTTGTTTACTTACCTATTACTACTGTTAGAAAACTGAATGCTGTCAACTTTATCCTATGTAAAGAAGAAAGAAATTAACAGTGATTCCAAACTATCAGTGCATTTTAATCAGATACTTATGTATTTTTAAATAGTATTTACAGTATGAAACTCCAACTCTGATATCTTCTCTGGCTGACCTGATCCAAAGAAATAAACCCTAATGATGTGATCTGTACTTCCAGTGGCCAGAAACATTCCACCTGAGAGGGACAAGCACAAATAAATAAGTCATGAGTAAAAAGGAAAGGTAACGTTATCTGAATAATGACAAAGCTCTTGAATATACAGCAGCAAACAAACTCATCTTTCCTAAATTTACATTTACTGCTTTTAACTGTTTAATTTTTATGTCAAATTTCAAGCTACATGAAAAATCTGTTACACTGAGCTTGTCATACCATTTATATTATTTATGTAACAATGACTAGATAATCCTAATTTTTTCCTCAAAACAACAATGGCTACATATTTTAAGTAACTTTTAATAGGCAAAACAATTGTAGGACTGTTTTTAGAAGATTTGTGGAAAAGAAAATTGAATTCCAAATTAATATGGAATTTTTTAAATTTTCTCTAGTCATTAGAAGTAGAATTTTCAAAAGCGCAAGTGACTTGGGAAATTAAGTCCCATTCTCAAAAGAAAAAAATAGTTAAGGTATTCACAAGTTAAAGTTGCAACGAAAGTTAATAGAAGGTAAACTTGTGAATGTCTTGAAAATACATCTTGGACAATTTAGCAATTTTGTTCGTACTGCCTTAGCTAAATTTTGAAAAATCATGTTTCTTCTAGCGACCAAGAAAAATTCGAATTCTTCCAGAGTTTGGAAATTGGTGCTTCTTGTCCAAGCCCCTTCTTTAAGCAGAACATAAGCCAGGTTTTTTTTTTATTATCTCCCTTATTATCAAGAAATACTGAACTTAAAGAAAGCTACAGGTCACAAAAATGTGTTAGCAATGTTTATATGAACTGATTCCCAAAGATGCCTATATAACAAGTATCTTATGTACAGATTATGAAAATCCATTATCCCCATCAAGTGCTGTTATTCCCCCTCCCTTAATCTCATCCAAACATCAAAAGAAGTCATACTACTGTATTACACTGTGGTCCGCTATACACCTCGTATGCCTCGTTATAAAGTTTATACATTAAAGAAGAATAAAGAAAATTCTGTACCAGCACTAAAAGAAGAACAGATCATCTGGACTCCCGGCCGAGGGCGTTCTGTAAACTTTGCTGGCCTTGGACTACAAATATAAAAATAAGTAAAATAATATCCTAAGGGGGTTACTTGCAGAAACAACTCTGTCTCAAAACTAAGCACAGAAAAACAAAATTAAACATAGAGGAACAGATGGTTGCCCATCTACAAACAATTTAGTGTCATACTTCATGATCTGATCTTTAGGAAATAACAAAGGCTCATGCGGACAAAATTATGCATATAACAGAGTTCTGGGGTCACAGAGAGTTCATTATGGAGTTTTTTGGTATTTAAAAAAAGGAAGAGAGAATGAAAGAGAACAAATGAAGGGAGAAACTTGTGGTTAACTATTAAGTTCAGTCTTAAACAGTACATGACCTCAACTTTTCTCCATACTAATTATAAAGCAACAAACAGGCTTCTTTGAAGAATTAAAGGAAAACAAAAATTAAAAGTTCTCTAATAAAAACATTTGGGGTAAAGAAATCTGTTAATACTTATTTATTCAAGCTGAATAGTTTTTAAGAAAATATGTATTCTTCAGCAGCATTAACAGCTCATTGTCCCCAAATTTAAAAGAGCATTTTGTAGTTCCCATCTATTCTTCTACATCGTTTCTTCCCTTTAAACATTTCAAAACCTGATATACACACAGAAGTAAAAACTAAAATAGGATTTAAATAATCTAGCTTTCAGGTCAGAATAAAGAAAATCTGTATTTTTTCTGCCCTCAACACTCATGTTACTTCTGCACACAAGCTGCAGCAAGAGAGTTGATTTTATATATAACATTTCACTGGCAAGCTATGCTAAAGAAAGGAAAAGCGTAGACTAAACACTGTTGTAGCAGATTTCTTACACACATAGGCTGCTTGCCAATGTTAAAAAACCCCCAAATCCTATGCTTTACCGGAAGCAGCAGCATGTTAGTTTGACCCAGATCCGCAGCATCTGTACAGACTGGGCACTTCAGCAGAGCTTTTTGGCATTTTTATCTAAATCCAAGTCAATAAGCTATTAGATAAAAAAGCACCAAAAAAACCACTAAAGCGCTTGATCTATAGAGACATCAGGCGAGCCAGTTCCAACTAACACAATGCCTCTTCTGAGCATGTACTAGGCTTGGCACAGGAGCACACGGAGTTTAAAGCACCATTTTTTGTTTTTTAACATCTGCAAGCAGCCTTAAAATAGGTAGGATTTCAGCTAACAGAATACAAAAAAAGTATTCATTACTTATCTGAAAAATTCCTTTTTTTGAGTAACATGGCCCAGAGATCTATGCAGCCATTGAGGCAGATTGAGCCTCTTCATCACTTCTAAAAAGCCTGACAATTTCTAGTCTAACACACCAAGGACACTTTAAGCTTTTTTAAGTACGCTTTAGTACCTGTGTTCATGCAAAGCAAAGAATGTAGTGAACAAACAAGTTCTGAATACCAATTAATTGCCATATACATTTCCCAAACAGGCAGCTATTGCAAGTGGGTAAGTTCTATAAACCTCATTATTCTAAGAAAATAACCTATGAAATGTTGGGTAATTCTTACTCTTAATGAGATTAAAAAATGTGCAACATAGGAGACTTTCATAGCAGCAGCCACTCAGGGTGAGATAACTATTATATTCAGAACATTACAACTTTTTTTAGGCACTACAGTATGGAGCATCCCTATCCAAAAAGGTGGTATCCATTCATTTTACATCCAGCTTGCAGAATTTAGAGAAAGTATGAAGACAGAACCAGGCAACTGCTGAATGCAGTCTTGACTGTAAATACTTTAATTTTATGGAAAGTATAGTCCTTATATCGCAAGGTGAGTACTTCTAACAACTGCTTGAAAACTGAGGTCATCAACAGAACCACTTTAAATGGTTAAAAGGTACTAGGACACTTTATAAACTATTCAAAATCCATGCCCAGTAGGGGCAATGACAGCCAATTTAAGGACTCGTAAAGAAGCTTTGTTCACTTCCAAGGGTATGTAGAAGATGGGCTGCTGTTAAAAAGAACTGGACAAAAACTCTCTCTTTCCCATGGCTTTAAGAATGCAAGGCAGATAAGATCTCCAAATGCCTGAATTATCAAGCCTAACCAAAGCTCATCTAAAAGGAATGTAAAAATACTGATTCAGATATTGCAGTGTTACCCTGGTCTCTGAATAAACAGAAGTTACATTTGTTTACAAGTCAAGAATACGGATACTACTTCTGCAGTTGGTGCAGCTCTACTCAAAAGCTATGCAGAGGCTCACAGGATTCCAAATGCCTCCATCAACAATATATCCATTCTTGAAGAAGCAAAGATGGGATATATTATGCCCTTTTCAGGTGACCTGAGAACTAATGCCTCCTTGTCCAAAACAAGACTGTAGGAATCCCTGGTGCCTGTTCTCATATGATCTTTCACAGCCTTTGGGCAAAAATAAAGGAGAGAAGGGACATAGGAGTCTTTTGCAAGGTGTCATCCATTATCTTTGTTTTGTGATCCTGCCAATGTGAGAACACCACTGGAAATTTGTATGATTTTGGAAAACTAAATCACTAAAAACAGATGCAACCGAAGCTTGAAGCATAACCGAGACGTTAATATATTTCACTGTTAATTCAGCCCTCTTACCTGTTGGGTCCTTTGGTGGTAGATCACTATTAGTCAAAAAGACCACCGCTCTCATGGAGACGGAAAGATTGCAACCACTTTAGGAGGGAAGATCATTTTGACTGGTAGCTACCCTACTCAAAACTTCTGGCCTTGCCTACTGATTCTCTCTAAACAAGGATTTATAGGAATATAAAGATTCAAGCTTGAAACCAAAAAGGAGTAAAATAATGTTTGTTTCCATTTACTCTGATAGACCTTTTTCCTTCTCTTAAATCTCTCGTCAGCTGCACGCATTTTGAATTTATTCCTTCTTTTTCTGTCCATCTCCAAAATGGTTGACAGGACAGAACAGACAGATCTAGAACTATATTATCATTTTCTCTTATACTCTCTCTATATATAGAGTATATATAACTATATTATACTTTCTCTTGATTTTGCTCATTAGATGAAAAAAAGATACTCACGAAAAGAAAATCAGGATGGACTCTCCCATGGAGAGTACCCTCTGAAAACATGGCCACGTAGTTTTCTTGCCCTGAGAAGATTCAGGCTGAGCATCTAAGATGGACTGATCCTACAATGGGATTTTCCTAGAACCTCAAGATTCATTTGAAGGATATTTCTGTATGACTTGAACATGCTGACCTCATGGGTCAGGACCAAGATCCAAACCTTGACATTCAAAGAAAGTTTCTGGTCTATCTGTTATACTAGGAAACAAGGCAGGGAGATGTACTGTGAAATGGACAGTATATCCGGGCCTGAGGATTCTTTCTAGAACTTGTGTATGGCTTGTTAGTGCTGCCCTACTACAGAAGCATGGTAGATGGAGTAGGATGACAGGAAAGGGGCTGGGCAAGAGACTTCTCTGGCCTTTTAACACTGTGCTTCAACCTGCAGTCATGGGGGAAATGATATGGAATGGCGGGAATGGCTAACTTGGTGCCACAGCCAAAATATTTTTGCACTTCTGATCTGTTGTCAGAGTTCTCCAGCTCGGGTAAGAAAGGTTACAGAAAACCCTAGTCTAGTCTGAGCACTTGAGAGGGACCTGGGTCTCTACAGCAGGGGTTTTCAACCTTTTTGGATCAGTGTACCCCCAGTGGCCTAACATTGGGGGGGGGGGGGGGGGAGAGGAGGGGGCGCCACACGGAGGAACAACAGCAGCCACCGCATGCGAGCTTCCCCCCACCCCACATCTGGCCAGGCAGCACCTACACAGGATGGTGCATGATGGCACTCCATCCTTGCCTGCCTGCACATACCCACTAGGGCCTTCTCACATACTCGCATAGAGTCGACAACCTCTGCTCTACAAAACTACTCTGAAAGTCCAGCCATTTAATCCTTGAGGTGCTATAAACCTGTGTAGGTACAAGGAAAAATAGAGTAACTAGAGAGAAAATTCACCATTCTATTGACCAATGCTGTGCTATCCTGTTATAAAGTAATGTATATCCCTGAGGTAATGACCTTAAATGAAGTTATTTCCAACTCCTTATTCCCCCCCACCCAATGTGCAATCCTCCCACACTAATTTCTATATTTATAATATTAGTTGAAAATGTTCAATCCTTTCTTTTTCCTTGCATCAGCATCCAATATTGAAGCATAAAAATGCATCCGCATCCAAGCTGCCCTTTTGAGTTCTAGTATTTTATTTATATAGCTAATATTAATATTAGAACATACACTGATTTCTAATATTCTACTTGCCCTTTTAAGTTTTGTTCTCTTACTACAAGCTGTTCCGAGCCTTTGTTGGGAGAGGGCATATAAACTGCGCGCGCGCGCGCGCGCACACACACACACACACACACACACACACACACACACACACACACACACACACTGAGGAGGAGGAAATCCCCTTGCCAAAAAAAGGAGACCTTGTGTACTGACAGACATACTTTTTGGTTGCTTTAATACAGAGGGGAAACTATCGACGCATCAACTGTTATTTATTTATTGGACTTATCGTATTCTCATATACAATGCCCCTGAATAAGATATGCACCTTTTTTTTTGGAAAGGCAGAACGAAAAGAAAAGGTTTTTCCTTGACAATACAAGTAGGAAAGTAGCTGAGTAACAGCTTCTGCAACTGAAGCCTCTGCCAGGGAAAAAGAGAAAAGTGCACATAGCCAGATGCTATGAAACTCCATGTACGGCACTACAGCGTTACTTTAACTTTCCCCCAGCAATGGCAGAGACTGCTATTACCATATTTCTTCTCTTATAATGTGTACCCCAATTTGCAGCAGCTAAGTTTTGGGGAAAAGATGCACCATGTGGAAGACACCACAGAATATTGCCACCCTTCCCAACAAAGCTCCGGAGCTGCCGGTCAGGTATTACTTCCATCAAGCAATAGGCATTATCATTCAATGGAAACTGTCACACCATGTGACCTACTTCATGTTCAAAAGCCAAGCCATC